TATTTTTATTTCTGAATATTTTTTAATTAAATATAAATTCAGTAAAATCTATGCACATAGTGTGAATATGATTTTTTGAAAAAATAAAAATTTTTAAGTTGGTGAATCAAAACTTTTTATGACTTTTAAAAATAATTACAATACATGTATGTATCATAATTATGTATATAGCATTTCAATTGCAAAAACATGATGAAAATTAGAAACATATATGATTTAAATTCTGAACATAAATTCATTTACTATTTATCATTAAAATTTTAGTTTCTTTATATTTATCATAATTGTTTTAAAAATGATGAATAAATAATTTTTATGTTATTTATAATTTGTGCTAATATTTAATAATCTTATTATATTTATATGTAAGTAAAACTTTAAAGATCTCTTATAATATTTCATATTTAAAATAAATTTTAAAAATAGATTTTTTATATTTAATCATATAATTATGAACTATAAGAGATTCATACCTATGATTAATTTTGATTATATATATATCATTTATAAATACAATAAACAACATAAATTTACACTTATCAATTTTTGTAGAGACTATATCATTATTTAGTTTCTAAGAACTAAATTTATATAAGCACATTCATATAAAAATAACCATAATATTAGTTTATGATTAATTTTATAAATTCATGTTTATAATTCAATTTACTAGAAATTTGTAACTATGCCAAGAAAAATTAGTAGCAATATGTTTTTATATTATATATACATTTTTTAGAAAAATGTTTATGTATATAAAAATATAATTTATAAATATATTCTAAATTTATAATTGTTTAAAATCTAATAATATTAAAAAACCCAAATTTAATTACTTTGAATTATTTTTAGTTAATATCAAAAATTTAAGTTCTAAGTTAGAAAAAGAATGAAAATTTTTTTTTAGCAAATAATAATGAAAATTAAATTCTACAATGAAGATTGAAAATATCATATTTCAATTTCATCTGATTGATAGATCTATTGAATTTATTACTCTTGTTTTTTGTTGTTATTGCTACATATACATCAGCCCTGATTGATTATAATTTATCTTTGAACTCATGCAAAATTAATCTCAAAATAATATATTCACTATGAAATGTAAACACATACATTTTTGTTCAAATATTGTCATAATCAATTTTTAATAGAATTCAATAAGGCATTGACATCATCTTTATGATCAAAGAAAATATTTTTAGGTTTCTTGAGATACATGAACTCAATTCACAGCATTTCAATGCACTTACATTGAAATTGAATCTTACTTGCTCAACTTTTCTATAGTTAAAGTAATATCAATTTAGCGCGCACGTTTGAATTTAGCATTTACTTGCTCACCTTTCCATAAATAGTGTATTATCAAATTTTGTGCTCACATTTTGATTCTTGAGGTTGTTTATAGCCTTGTCAAAGAGATTAAATGATGTTTTTCATACTGCATATACATATATGTTGTAGTAGCTAGATTCAAATTTGCTATTAAAATGTATCATACTTATTAAAATTGTGTCATGATAAATTTTTTTACCACACTATATTTATTTATCTTCAATTAATGATAATATATATATATATATATATATATATATTCAATGTACTCTTGAACAAATCTAATTGTTTCATCTTAAATGCAGATTTTAATTGATTCACGTTTTTATTGACATTGAATTTTTTATTATAAAATTAAGCCTTTTATCTATCCAAATGAGAAATTTTTTTAGATGTTATTTTGCCTTATTAGTAGCAATTGTTATTTTTTGTTCTAAATGTAGCTGATATTGATACAAACATCGTTCAAAAATTTAAAAATGTTAAACCAAGAGTCTAGTTTTTTCAAAATTCTTTACACACAAGCTTTCAAATCAAGTTGAGTCATAGATTTGTCTAGGAATAAGATTGTAACATTCATGAAAAGTGTCATGGTTAATAGTATACGCATTTTCCATCCTCTATAGATATTGTGGGTTTTATCTTTGAATATTTTTTTCCAGGAAAAAGACGTTATTATATGAAGTTTATACCGAATTGCAAGGATGTCAATTTTCAAAAACGTTGATTTACATTGTTCGTTGATAGATTTTCATGTGGTCAAGTATGAAAACTTTGCATAATCGCAATAGACATGAACTTTTCACTTTCATTAAGCTCAAGTTGAGTACAACTTCTCCCAAGCATGGAGTTCAAAGCTGGTTTGTGTATGTGAAAAATCACTGAGAAACTACCAGTATCAATATCTCAAGTTTGCGGATGCAAGGGTAAAACTCAAGTACACGGTTTGGTATGTAATTGTGTAGTACCCAGTTTTGCAGCAAGTTCATTTCCTTTGACGAGTTAGGCCCTTGATCCAAATAAGGTAGATTTGGATCAAAAAATATTAATTGGTATGAACCGATTGTTTGAAATAATCGAAATCTATCAAGACGCAAATACAGAACAAAATTAACAGAGCTAGTACGTGATTCATCTCAAACAGTAAGTATATATATATATATATATATACAATACAATGCAAAAAAAAGCTTTATTGAAAGCCTAATTTGTGTCATTGATACCTATGACTAGCTCTTTTATATAGTAATAAGTTAACTAGTTTAGCTAACCAGAAATAACAAGACATGAAGTTTACTATTAACATAATCTAATCAATCTTTTATTAATACTAGACAGTAAAAAATCACAATGTTGTGCCGGACATGATCTAGTACTAGACTACACTTAACATATCCCAGAAATGTCAAGATGTATTCGAAAATCAAATCTGAAATAAAAAATAATGTAGTCATTTTTTATAGAATTTAGAAAAATGATTGAACATGTCTTTGTACTTTCAAATAACAACCTCATTCGAATAAGTTCAACATTGAATATAATCACGCATGGATCACTAAAATGTACGATGACAGTCTTAAAAATCGTGTTATTGGGCACAACAGGTTTCCAAAGACTTCTAATCCATGAGAAAAAACACATTTGCCTCTGACTTTGTATATGTTATGATTTCTTTGGCTATTGTTCAGTTTCTCTTATGTTCAGCAATACTCTTTTGTAAACCTTCCAGAGGCAGGAGGAGAAATGAAATCATGTTTGGTAACATAAGGAACGAGTCTCCTAGTTTGTATCGGGAGATGTATATGATGACGATATTCATATTCAATTGAAATATGGAAGGGAGCATATGAAACCAGCTGTCCATAATACTTCACGACATGTTACATATTACTGTATTATTCATCATAAAAGAAGACGGATAAGGACGTAATTTCCATTCTCAACGGCGTGTATGTGAAACTCACTCCATACTTGCTCTATAGATTCGAAGAGTTGATCAAAGTCTGTGAAACCACATACTACCTTTCACCCAGCAGATCGAATTGCACAACCGATTTATTACATTATTACATCTACTGAAGTAGCCTATCTGTCACGTAACTTCTCATGTGTAAAGTGCACATCAAATAGATTTCTGAAAATATAGAAGGCCATGAAGAAGCTGGGCTTCTCCACTGCAGTAAAACACTCGATCAGCTGAAATATTGTTTTACATATTTTCGCCTAAAGTTCGACTAAATTTGTACGTGATGGCATTCAGGGTCTACACAGACTCGTTCATTCCACATCTTTGCAAGGTCGATGTGTGTGAATGTTGTGTTGGGTCCTATAGGTAGTCCATAAAGTATACAAAATACATAATCACATAGGAGTAATTGCACTCATATCTCGATGTATAAATAACAAATATAATCTCGTGAGAAAGTAGATAATTGCTTGATAGTACCCTTGGGAAACTGAAATTATTTGATGGGATCCAATATGTTTCATTTTACACTATGGTACTCCACTTTACGACTCACCGTCAGCAATTTTCGAATATTACAAGTTACACCATCGTGGATCCTGTCGTTGGGCTAGAAGTAATGCTACTGGTGACAAGATTGGCATTGTCGTTCATTCTGCCCAACATCACAAAGAGTCCAGACATCGGGGAGATTATGAATGTTCTCATGGAGGCCTTGCAAATGGAAGGTGAAATCGTCTAGTATCGGGAACACGCTGCTCACACAACTGATCCATACTCAAGGCAAGTGAAGCCTGGATTTCCTCACGAGGCTTTCACACTACTTCTGATTCTTACCATGGAACACGGACCCAGATAATTGATCTTGAAAAACAATGGATGTCAATCGATCTGTTCAGTTTGAAATTCCGTAAGTGATTCGTTTCACTTCAGATCTTAGTTCCCGTTGTCAAACACAAAGTTTCTGTCGAATTTATAACCAGGTAGGAAATTCTCTATGTTTTTTCAGATGTAGATATGGCAAGACGGGAGTACTTAGCATCATGGTGCGGGCCAAACTAGTCGCGAAATTAATCTCGATGGAGGAAGTATTTTGGCCCCATAGTGACAAACACTATCCACATTTATTATCCGGTTATAAAATCTTTAATTTAAACATGTAGAGTGGGGGTACCATTGAGTAAATTTGAAATCTATTGGGTAAACTCAAATTACTTGAGTTTACCAAGGGTCCATCAAACAATTATCTCCGTGAGAAAGTAACGGAGTGAGATGATTCATCGCTGATGAACGATAAGTTATCGTTGATTGAGTGTCTCACACCCCATTGCGTGCACAATGTCCAACGTGCTAGCGAACGTGGGTATACTTATGAACACCACACGGTGCTGTAGAAGAAAGAAGTAAAGTCAATGAGTGAGTCGGTCAATCGATCGGTCGGTGGTGAATGGTTGCTCTTTCTGTACACATGAATCTAACAGTCACTAGAAGCCGGCTGACGTGGATCGTCCTCCCTCATCCCCGAAGCCCTAAAGGGTGCGGCCACAAGAGTGCAGTATAGAAAGCCTTCACTGCTCGTCAAATCAGTTCTCTCCAGTAGAGCTCTGGAGATCGGCATGTGAGGTAGATGTTGATGTCAATCCTCGGGGATGGAAGCTCGTGGGTTTGATCGACGGTGGTTACGAGGAAACTCGATACTGATTATCTTTTCTCATCTCATGACGTATTTCATAGCCCCGTGCTTGTTCGCGGAGCCTTGTAACGCGTCATGAAATAGGAAGAGGCAATCTGGAGAAAATTGGAGTTCTGAGGGTCTGGAACAACCCAGGAGCGCGAGCACCTGGATTCAATCACCGGATCAGATGTGCGAGAAATGTCGTACAAGACTATTCTTCGTTGTCTTGCAACGTTCCCACAACTGTCGCACCGCCTGAGAAGAGCTAAGCTCGTGATACTAGAACGTTCTCTTCATGTGAGCACCTTCCTTGAAGCGCGATGAGATTCATGGATCGACCCGTTCCCTTCTCTGACGGCTTTGGCGTTTTTGCGTAGGATAAGAGTACGTACATACCAATCGAGCCACCAGTTCATCGACCATTGCAATTCTAGGATTCTTGCACTCGTCGCAGGACAAAGCATCCTTCCTGCGAAACCAGGTTCTCGCACTCTGAGCTTGAACGTGACCGGGGGTCGCGTGCCTCCAAGTTTAGTTCCATGCCTACGAACATGAGGGAGATGCTTTTCATCCCTGAAATTTGAGGTTAAGTTCTCTTGAGTTTGAGATGAATTTTGAGCCCTCTTGCACCAGACGATCAAAACGTCTGGAGTTTTCTCTGGTTTGAACTCTAAGTGTGATCACCGAAGCGACCTTGAAGCTTCTCTTGAAAAGACAGATTTGGTCCAAAAAGAAGTTCTTCCTTCTCAATTATTCGACCAATTCGTTCTTTTTCTCGACTTAGAATCATGGAACAATGATTGGAAAAACCTCATCTAATATAACTCACCTTCTGGAGAGATATCCACGTCCCCATACTTCTTGTAAGTTGATCCGTCCACCCCTCGCCAGGACACTATCCACTGACAGACGATGACTGCGCTGTCGACATCAGCCCCACTCTGAAAGGCACACTATGGTAATTGGTTTGTTTCAAAAACATTTAAACAAAATCTGTCACGGTAGGAAGGCTCAATAAACTACAGTGAGAATTGATGACAGCTGTTGCTGATCATATACTAAATTACTAAATTCCTCTCAAACTGCGTCCGCGAAAATTATCGGCATTATCGTGCCTCACCTCCACACCTAGGAAGTGGCGATGCTTGTATGACGGTGAAATATTCTTTCCCATCTCAAAGGAAAAGATTTGCTTCCCAGAGGTGTTGTACCCTTGTGTGAATAAAACAATGTGAGTCGCAAATTCTCTACTGATACTATCCTACCCTCTGGAACGAAAAGTGCGTGGACCAGAAGTATTGAAAGTCAAAAGGTACGCAGATAATATCAAAAACCGGCTTCAGGTTCGCAGGAGATAACCCAAATCTTGATAATGCAGTGTTATTCTTGTATCGCAAGTTTATAGGTGACTTTTTATTTTCTACATCATTGGCATCCTGTCATTCGCCTCCGGGCTCCAGATTCATTGTCAAAATTGTTGGTAGGTAAACAAGTTTCGATCCAATGTATGGCCGGCTGACAGTTACAGATTTCGAGTTCTGAACATTTTACACAAAAGGATGTTCATGACTGTCAGCCTCTCCACTTGGGCTACTGAGATCCTAACTGAAGTTGAAACATACTTCACCTTCTCGAAGGATAAGTTTTGCTTTGCAGGTAAATTGCTGAAAGGATGACAGATGGTTTAACCCTTTTATGAGTATTGCAATAGTAGGTGCAAAATATGTATGCTCTAAAATATATAAGCATTCCACCTCTGTAAACAATGTCCAGACATAATACAGAGGACACAGACAGTTACAGTTCCTTAACTGTAAGAGCTCCAGCCACCATGTTGTGCGGACTCCCGTTAGCTAACATACTGGATAGGACAATTTGTAGATAACAACGTAAATAACGACTGTCGTTGACGTGATTAGTTGGTGACCTTGTACACAGCACATTGAAGTGAACAACAAACAGAATAGACTTCACCATGGCCCTGGTAGTGTCTACAGTACAAACGATGGCCTGCACTCTGAAAGCACAGCTGAAAGTACGGCAAATATTGAAAGCCATAAAATTCACGGAAAATCCCCAAAAACGACTCAGTCCTTACAGGAGATAAACATAGCTCGTGATAAAACAGTGGTGTTCTTATATTACAAGTTTATAGATGAAATTCTATCTTCTTGATCGGAGGCTTCGTGGCTTTCTCCTCCGGGCTCCAGGCTGATCGTCAAATTGTTGGTAGGTTGAACAAGCTTTGATCCAATGTATGGACGGCTGACAGTTGCAGCTTTCGAGTTCTGAACATTGTAAACAGAAGGATGTCCATAATTGCAAGCCTCTGCACTTGGGCTACTAGCAATAATTTTGCCGAAGGTGCAGTGGTGAAGCTAATTATTTGTAAACCCTGCACACGAAAGGCAACACCCTGAGTGTGGTATACCGAGGAAACATAGACCGAGAGAGAACCATAAATTGCAACCAACAATATTTGTTACAAAAGAATAATCTCACACGATATTATACGTACCTTCCGTCAGCTCGCTTTTGTCCTTGAATTGTGATGCAGATCGTTCTTGGACCCCCATAATTTCGATGCTCGTTCAGCCAAATGCCCTTCATAACAGTAAGTAAAAGAAGGTTACAATTTCAAACTTGTTACAACCTTCAAAGTTCATCAGTTTGAAAATTAAGATGCTCCGGATTGTACCAACACGGCTGTCCTACATTTAAGATCATCATTAAGTGACCTATTTTCGAGCGTACACTACCTGCCAGATTCCAAGGTTCAACCGGCCTGCTTTGATCGGAATGGTCAAAGAAGACCCCATCATTGAAGCCTTCACGTGAGCTGATCATAGCAGCCAATTCAAAAATATACATCATCAGCTGGCGTATTTCTCTACACTATGAGGATGAAGCGACAACTGTAAGAGCGAAATGTAAATAAGAAACAATGACTGTATGGAGCTGAAAGACTAAATTTGGACACGGCACTGCTGACATATACCCGGCATGTCATCTAAACCTTCATCCAAATGACGGTAATGATTTCCCTGCAAGCCAGAACAAACAAGAATAGGATGAAACGTATATGAAAAGTCTAAAAGCTGAAGACCGAAGGTTTGACATACTCCGGAACAGGTGGAAAAAACATGAAATATAAACTGCTCTAGCTCTTATTGAAATCAAACCGCCAAATAATATACATGCCTCTGGTACAATGCGATTGAGAGAATCCTCCATGTCCAACGGAACATCAGGGCTTGCATTCTCATTTATGGTCAAGCTGGCGGACGTATGCATCACTGCATAAAACGAAAGAGCAGTCAATGTAGTGAAGGCTTCCGATAAACTGCTCTAATCCTCTAGTTTACACATAATGATTCTTACAACTTTTCTGTAAAGCAGGTGTTATTGCAACATGTGATGTCAATATCTTAACCCATCGCTTCTGGAAGAATCTCCTCATACGTAACTCCAGAGCTATTTCTACTTAAGTGGACCCAGAGAGGAGCAAAGAACGTTATAAGCCTTAGATGATCTGAGTGGTCAAACATCTGCGAGGTGGCAAAATCATACAAAACCTAACAAATCTCCAAGGATAGTAGGCATTTCTGGTGAGTATTTCTATCATACATGAACTCACCGAAAATGTGTGCTATGCCAACCTCGAACTCACATATCTCAGGGATCGCGTTCACTATTTTCCGAGTTATAATGTGGCAACCCCTGCGAAGAAGATGTAGCATCCACAGATAGGTCAAATAATGATAGAAGGAGACAGCATCCATATCAATATGGTTGTAGTCTATCAGAACTATTAGCAAATATCTACTCTTGCACGGTACTTTCTAAAATTTGAGGGAAAAAAATTGAACTATTGTGCACTTTGTGAATATAAAAATCAAATCTGATATTCTACGGCTATGACAGCTCAGATCATACTACCTTTCCTAGTTCTCCCGAACTTAGCCACAATCGGAAGTAATATCACAAGGTATAATCTGCAAGTTTTCAAGGGACTCGTGGCCGTATATACTTGGTCTACTGTAAAAAGCAGCACCGAAAGGATCGACAATCAGGGAAAGCAAGGGGCCTCACTGTCCCTACATGTTGTGATCCACTGAACATACACACTGTTTGTCTTACATCCTACTTGACATGAAACAGGCGTGTTAGTTTGAAGGACTGGCAATGTACAAACGTGCCATTAGTTTCATTCCAAAGAATTATATTGTATAGTTACCTGGAGAAGGGTGACAATTCAAATTGCTTCTGAAACCATTCGGTTGGACGAACTGTTGAAACTGCATGCACAATAAATAGATAACACCAGGATAAGCCCGAAGCTCACTTAAGATCAATAATTTAGATCTGTATCGAAAGGAGTACAGGTCCCCAATAGATAGACAGGGCTGAAAACTTTTCATATGTCTGGGTAATTAGCTGGGTAACTTTTACAGATTGAGTTTCATTCTCTATCCCTTTCCATCCAAATCTCCAACAGGTACACAGGGCTGAAATTTATTCATATGGGTAATTTGTTGGGTAATTTTTAACGATTGAATTTAGATCTCTATTCTTTTCCATCCATATCTAAAGTCAGTAGTTAAAAGGAAGTCAAAAGTCCAGAATTATGAAAAGTTTTCAGCCCTGTATACTGATGGTATTGTATAATTCAGATCATGCGATCCACACCCTCTTAGCTTCAGAGAGGATTCCACTATTCTAGACCTCTATAACCTGATCACTCTGAATGTGCTCAAAAATATTCTTTGGCTCCAGAAGACGTATATTCTTTTGGAAGATTGAACTATTCAACTATTTGATGGCGCTTCAATCATATCAATTACCGTGAAGAACTAGAGTCCTTGGAGAGGTGAAGGGTACTTCAAGAGTTCGTGATAATGTACACCAAGTCTTCCTGCGACAGGTTCATTGCGAAGTGCTTATCACAAGTTTTTCTTCGAGGTGCTAAACCCAGAAGGATGACTACTCGGTAGTTTACCTGTTCCGCTGCCGACCTCGCAGCGAATTGACAACTTTCGAGGGCTGCTAATGGAACCTCCTCGTTTCTTAAAACACAGCAGGTAAGAACCAGATCGTAAGAATGAACTGCTCACAATCCGTAAATCCTATTGTATTTTAAAATTCGGAGCTTTCGAGCACAATTTCAGGACAAGGTCAAGTGACAAACTGATTATCGCCGTCAGCAACAATTCCAGCGTCTTGCACAAAATTCGTCGAGAGGGTTCTGTCATATCTCACCGGTTTCCCAGCGTTCAATACGATAACACTGAAGTTCCGAGACGCGAACCGCTGAGTACTGGAGCAAGAGCTAGCAGCACGCGAATCGGCAGCTTGCAAGGACGAGATGTTGTACGATGCAGGGACCGAAGAACAGCGAGCCAGAACGGACTCCATCGCAGTCTCCGACCTGAAACCTATAGAATTGAATCCACTCCACTGCTCAATCAGGGACGATGGCTGACGACCTGCCTTGCGAGCTTGGAAGGCGTTCTACGCGGCCATTTGGCCCCAGAATGAAGCACGAATGGGGACCGCCACCGCTGCCACCTTCTCGACCATGCACAACCAACCAAATCGGTCACGTGGAAAAATGCATTCTGTGAAAATTCAACAAATCGAATTTCTGCATATGATCAAATTCTATTCTCAAAGGCCCAGTTAAAGGGGACACTGCAGGGTTCCACAGGCCAAATTCGTATCAGCCTAGAGGATCATTTTGGTTTGTTGGTAATCTCGGCTCATCTCGGCTCACGATTGACTCCACTGCGTTCTTCTTATTTTGCGCTCACTTTCACGCACAGCTTTTGAGGACCTGTACATTGGAGGAGGTTTGCAGCATGGGTGCATCGTCCGACATTTATTAGATGTGCTAATCACTCTTTCATCTTCTCAGAGCTTCACATTGGCACTGTAATTACGATTGAAGTCCGAACCTCACTGCATCTGGAGTGACATTTCATAAAATCGATAAACTAGTATCTTTTTTTAATTCAGATGATTACATCTGAATAAAGCATTCAGATCGAAGAAAAGAAGAATTTAATGTTCAAATATGTAAGCAAACTTTTGTCACTTCTTTCTCTTTTCACACCCTCCCTTATTTTTGAAGTCATTCATCAAAAGTTAGAATTGAATGAACTGAAAATTGGGAATTTATTGCGCGGATGTACATGTTGCATGTTGTCACTCTTTTATCTTCCTAGACTCGTGTTCTTTGAGCTGCGAACTAGAATTTCTCTTCTTCTCGTACGAACGTCAAGGACTTTCGTCCCCTCAACTTTGGGTGCAATGCGAACTGCATTGCACCCAAAGTTGTCATTTTGTACGATCTAAGAACATGTCGGAGTGACATTTGTGCTTCTTGCTAAACTGAGGTCATCGAGCTCGTAAATCAAGGCACTTTACTTCAAACGAAGTTAGCAGTACTGGAGCCCCAGCGTTTGTGTTGAGGTATTCCTCTTGTATAATATTATAATTCAGTGTCAATACTTCAGCCACACCGACGGGATACACTTAAGGAGACAAGAAAATTAAACTTAAGAACAAGAAAATGGCTTTCTGTCTTATTCACCAGATTTTTATACAGTTGGGGGTTTTCAGAAACGTAATTTCTAAAGATATTGGTATCACATGATAAAATAAGAAATAAAAAAATAAAATTTCCTCGATGTCGAAAAAGGATCACAAATGAGATAAGAAATCATCACCCACTACATTTTCATGAATTAGGATTCCCTTAAAACATATCAACACAGCCTACCGCCGAAGGTAAAATTCCAGGCACTTTTTTCTCGATTTTCTTAATTTTTCTTTGATTTACTGCGATGCGGGGCTCGATTATTCCGATTCTAAATTGACTTTTACAGATGGAAATATTTGTGGTCACCAGTTTTAGCATTTGCTCGATTCCACGTAAAAGTAGGAAATCCCGGCGTACGAGAACGCGCGACGCCGAATGCGACGAAGAGTTGGAATACTATACCCACGACGGAGATTCCTTTCACCGAAATTTCTGGAGATTAACATTACATAATATACATTAAAATAATAAAACTAAGAAATGGAAAAATACTTCGCTTTCTGTCGCCCCGGGAGTTTGAGCTCATTTCCATTCCAGTTGTGCTGATTTAATATGAATACTACTCCAAAAACAATCGACTTGTACCGCGATCCAATACCTTTTACAACCCAGTGGTTTCAAACCCCTAGGAATAACAAGAGTTTTCGGAATATATATCGTATCTACAATATACATACGAACTGGAAGAAATACAATATATATATGTAATGATAAGATCGAGGATGTAAAATGCCATGCCAAGGATGTAATAGCCAAATGGCCAGAGAAGAGAAAGGCACAGGGCCCAAAATATTAGTCGCGTATTGTACAGAGAAGCACATAAATCTAGACGGACCGTATCATCGTACAATATGCAGATTCTATTTGCTTTCCGTTCACAGTACTGTACCTTTTGAGTCGTATAAAACATGAGGCGGGGTACGGCATGCCACATACGCCTGTCCGTCCATCTTCACGACCCGACGAGAATCCCGGAGTGTACGGCAGCTGAGCCGCCCGCAAATCACTGGAGACTTGTCGTCTTCCGGCCGGAGAACGGACAAGTTCCGCAAAAGAGGAGATCTCTTCGGGGAAGCGGATCGCGTGGGGGTTTCAACGCTCACGATTACACAGATCGTGCAGGCGTACGGGCCAGAGCCTGTAATGACGACCGGCCCGACTGGATAAGACTGCTGCACAGACTTGACTCCCGCGCGACTCCCGAAGCGCCAGCCGGTAACGGACTGAGGCCAGCCATCCCACTGGGGCATTGGGTTGTCGGTCGCCGCATTCCTCTCTTGGCGAATGGCGGCCACTCTTCTCAGTACTGATCTGTGCTGGAGCTGTCACTGCCATGAATGCTTCGACAATTCCAGGTGGTGTTTCGTAGAGTACATATGTACACCAGCTCAAACATGTGCCTTGACGCGTAGTGCAACAAATCCCATTCAGTCTAGATGAGCGTCCGTGGAATTGGATGTGAGAAGAGAGTAACTTCCGTGGAATATGATCCAGAGGAAGGAGAGGCTGGCCGACAAGGCAAAATTTTCGTATCAGTCGGATGTAACATTAGCCTCATCTATGGTTCCTAGATGAACTATTAGAGAGTTGAGAGTAAATGCAGTTTCATGTACTTGGAGAGAAAATCTAGAGTCTAAGCACCAAAGCCCAAGTAGAAATCTACACTCTCAAAACATTCCACCATTACACGACACTCATCACAATAATATGATAATAACAGTGATAGCAATGTCCAGCAAGAGGAGACTGAGCTTATCAGAGAGAAGACTGCAGAGGATCGGAGGCAGTTGGCGACAGTGAGAGCACTTCGATACATCTCGATGCATAACGAAGTCGCGGGTTGGGGTCGACATCGACGGGGCACGTCCTGGAAGTGAGGTGGGATGCGTCAGCGAAGGGTGTAAGTGCACTGAGTCGTAGTTGGATGCGAATGAGGAGCCACTGAGGTTTGAACATGGTGAGAGTGTGGAGAGTGAAGAGATGTAATGCATTGGTGGGGGAGGGACCACGTTTTCCATCGATGGCAGTTGAGCATAGCACACTCGGATGCATTCATTCGATTAATGAGGTGTTGGCTGTTGAGATAGCTTCATGCAACTGGCCGCACGCACGTCATCATGGAGAAGACAGGGATGAACATGTGAAGTGAGTGAGTGAGTGAGTGAGAGAGAGAGTCGAGACAGTGATACGTGGAAAATGAATTTTCTCAAGATATGTTAAATGTTGCTAGCACGAGCTTTGCTAAGATGGCGTTCGCTAAATTTTGGTACCATCTCTGAGTAACAAAGATCTACGGCAGTGGATTCATGAAATGGATGGAGGAGGAAGTTCATACTTGTGAAGATTCCTCGGCAATAATAATGGGGAGCACTCAATGGAACTGTACTGGTCTGGACTGAACTCAATGGAACTCAACTGATCTGACTAACAACGTTTTGCATATCTAAGAAAGAACTCAGAGACACCGCCACCGCCATCAGTCGGAGGATAGGATGGATCATAACACCAATAACTTCATCAATTGATTCTTCGTCGCTGGGAACGATACGATGATCCCCCTTGTACAAGCAGTGGCATCTCGATTCGTTAAACTCCCACTAGGAACTAGAAGGCCGACATGATCCCACAAATGCATGACACACTCCGGCTCAGAATCCAACTCACATCTGTCCTCGACCTAGAGCCTAGAGGAGAAGGAGAGCGGGACCGCAGAGGGGGTGCATGGAGTGGGAGCAGTGGACCATAATTACTCGCTCGCCTAGCTAGCTAATAAATTGACAAGAGACTCACATCACTCTCGAATGTTACAAACGACATTGGGTTTCTGATGGATGAAGTATCTCTAGATCGTATTGCTATTGTCTACTGCCACATTTTTGACACTGCTAAGGTATTTTCTGAAGGCAGAGAGGCGGGCGCTCCCTGCAAGCAATGCAAGTGCCACTAAGTGGGGTAATGTAAAGATTAAGTTAGAGAAATGATGATCTTGACCACTGCACTGGTCCAGAAGATTCTTCTTGAAGACTTGACGTACTTGATGATCTGCTTGCTTGATTCCTGCGCAGGCGCATTGTTGAGTTGTTGAACCCTAAGACCCAAGATACCTGTCGGTCGGTCGAATATATTGATGATATGAATGATATGCCTGTAACTGAGCATATATACTGAACTGAGCGTGACGATGAAGAGGGCAACCTGTGCTGCTCACTCGGTGACACGGATGAAGGAGAAAAAGTCAGTGTACAGACGACTCCTTTAATACTACTCTCCACTCTCAGAGGCCGGAAGCAGACACGGGTTGCACAAATACTGGGCTTCTATTCGTTGGAGAAGAATAAGAGAGCATAAGATTCGCTTTTCAATAATGGACGGAGAAGAATTACTTGGAACAGGGCTGGATCACATGTATGTTGAGGAGGCAATATGCCCGGACAATGTACAGTTGATTTGCGAGCAACGTTTCCAGTATGCTAGCAGCCAGACTTGTGTCGGCCGCTAGATTACGGACCACCACGAGGGCAGGCAGAGAGAAAGGGCAGAAGAAGACCTAATGAGGTACAATAGTACCGATATATCCAAATCCCATGACAAAAAAGGCCATGGACTGCAAGAACAGGTATATGTAAAAGTGGTTCTTTCCCTCGAAGAAGAAGTCAACGGATGCGCAGAAAAGTAGGTAACATCCCATAATCAGCTCAAGGACGTGTATCCTGCAAGCACAGTCAATCCAACAGCCGAGCCGAGTCAGTGATCCATAAAAATCAGATAGATCAGAAAGATATATCAATCAATCAATGATCAGAAGAAAACAGACTCTGCGTCACGCACCTCTCTCCCAGCTTGAATCCCTTAGGCAAGAGAGTCAGGAACAGCCACTTCTTGTTGTTAGCCTTCGGCATCGTTTTGTACTTGACCAAGCTTCCCAACTTCTCCGTCACGATCCATTCATTTACGTTGCCCACGTCGAACAGACCGATGAAAGTTGCCTTCGTTCTATGCATCGACATAACGTTCTCAAAAAGAATCCAGAACACTAGCAAGTGCAGAGACCTGCGCACAGCCATCACGATTGGGGTCGGTCAGTCAGTCAGTCAGTCCACGGCATCCACCATCGCCTGAGGCTCTGAGGCTCTGAGCTGCATTAGGAAAGGGAAGCATTAGGCTTCGAAGAAGGAGGAGGAGGAGGAGGCCTTACCTGGGGGTGGCGGCGGCATTCATGAAGGTGATAAAGGTGGGCACGTAGATGGCTCCCCACACGGGCAAGTCACACTCGGGAACGAGAACCGCGGTGGGAATGACCACACAGTAGAAGATGAAGGTGACGATGTGAGCGACGATCTTGCGGACGAAGAAGAAAGAGTAGACCATGTGGAACTTCTTGAGGAGCCTGACTTTCTGCACAGCGTGATGAGGACGAGAATCCACTCGTCAGCAGCGGTTTGCGTTCGACTTCGAAAGCAGGCAAGTTCCATGAGATGAGATGAGATGAGATTCGAAGGGATCGCAGAGCTTAATATACCTTGTTGGCGACGATGTTGGGCACGATCTTGCGGAAGAGGTTGGCGGGACCGCATGACCACCTGTGTTGTTGGTAACGGTAGGCCTTGAATGTGGATGGAAGCTCGTTCTTAACCTGCGCGGTTACAGAGAGAGAATGTTCACGCGAGAGCACAAGCCCAGAAATGATTCGAGCAGAGCAATTAATTGATCATACTATCCATCACCGTTCCATCACAGCTGAATGGCTCACCTCAAGGTCGTTAAGGTACACAAATTTCCATCCTTTCAATCCAGCTCTGACGGCCAAATCCATATCCTCGACAGTGGTTCTGTCCTTCCATCCTCCTGCCTCGTTCAAGGCGTGAATTCTCCACACACCAGCCGTTCCTGAGGAGTCGACAATGTCCAAGAGTGAGCTGCGAGTGTCATTGAAGTGAATCAAGCGACGACAGAAATCACTGAACCCTTGTCTCACCAATGTCACTCAACCAGTGAATCCAATGAGCTTACCATTGAATCCGAAGAAAGCGTAAGCGCAAGCTCCCACGGTTTGCTCGACTGAGAAGTGAAAGTTCAAAGACATCTCTTGCATCTTGGTCATCAGGCACTCATCTCCGTTCACTGCACAATCATCACACGACATGTCCAGTTCGAGTCAGTCCCACATGCATGCAGTCACGAGGATTCTCTCAAATCGATTCTCAGATTGATTTTCCACTATCACCATGACGCCTCCCGAGTCCGTGCATCACTGCAGGATCCATGCAAAAGTCGTGGCTGCGATCGGGGTTCAGACGGAGCCGGCGACCGTCAAGTGTGCAAGGCGAGTTCTCGGCACCCCACGTCATCTCGCTGAGGACTCCACGGTCAACAATTCGCAGAGATTCCCCGCGGGGCCATGACTGGTACCCACAACAGACGCCTCGCCGTTCGCATGATCCAGGGAAGGACTTCTGCGGACTGATGATGTTGCACGATCATCATCCCCCGCAGCAAATCTCACAGACTCTCGTAAATTTCCGCTCGGGGTCAATGACTCACAAGCCGCCGATCCACCCCAAGCGTACGACGACGCTCGTCACTGTCTGTCTCGCCGTACTGGCCTCATGTCCTGCTGCTGCTGCTGCTCTGGAAAGCCAGCCAGCCAGCCGGCCGGCCCCGCCTCCCACCCGCACACACACACAGTGAACATGGCCATGGCCCTAGATCCGATCACTGGCCCGATCACAGGCAACCACCACCCAACGAGTTCTGCCATGCTCGGCCGGTCAGCGGGCAGGCAGCAAGCGAGTATGGAATTTCGAGGGAGAGAGGGAGGGAGGAGGAGGGAGGTCATCTGACACTCACCTCACCTCCTCGTCCTCCGATCGACACTCAGATCGGCTGAAAAGTCCATAATTGACAAAGGAAACGAGGACTGAGCGGATACAGGAAATGGCGTGCATGCATGCAGGCTTGGGCGTCCACCCGGCGACCCACAGTGAGACAAAGGCTGCTCGTGAGATGACTTCAGGAAGCTTGTCTGCATACAGTTAGATGGAGGGAACAGGATCGGATCGGATCGGAGATCATCTCGCCCGCTCCCTCTTGCATTCTCAGGGACAGACCAATCGCATCCCTGCCCTCCCATTCTGCGTTTGAAGTGATGATAATGCTAATAATTGAGGAATTCAACGGGCCCAGCAAGTGCGCCTCCAGTCCCCTGACAAGGATCGCCATGTTACATGGACCTACTGCACGCAGAGCCTCGCCTGATTCATTAAAGTTTCAGCTCGACTGGTGCATGTGCACATCGACTCTATTACCGAGAATACAAAAGGCTGTTGTGCATGCCGCTGAGCTCATCACTTCCCCCTCCTCCCGTTTGGGATGTACGTCAACGGTCGAGTCAATTGGGGTAAGCGACCGGGGGGGTCGCTAAACTTAGCCCCGATCCGCTGAGGTACTCGAATTGTGCCGGGCAACGAACTGGAGATGGCGAGGGCCGGACGCTCGGAGAGACCGGGGGCTGGGGCAGAGAAGGATAGGGGGCAGCAGCCAGAAAGAGACAAAGACAAAGATTGAGTGGGGCCCGGCGGAGCAAATTCCGGCCGGAAAGTCGCCAAATAATGTACGTAGAGGGCGTGGACCCCCCACCCCACCGGGGAGGCAGTGCTCTCCCATTTCCGTCTTGGGGCCGTAAATCCACCCACTTCGTGGCAGCCCCTCGTGCGTCCGTCCGTCCGTCACGCTGATTCACACCTCGTAAATTATATCCTACGCACCCTACGGCCCTCGCAAGGTGACGGACGACTATCCGAAACTCGTGTGTCCGTCCGCTTTACGTCCTCCAGTAGAAGCCCAGTTTCGCCTGCGGTACAGCCCCTGTACCTTTCGGTGCCCCGTCGTCAATCAGTCAGGTCAGTGGTGCACAAGTGGTGGTGGGGGTCCGGAGGTACCACCACATATTAAGAAGCGGTCAGTTGTCAGATGGACGGACCGACTGGATGCCAATGAGAGGGTCCCCCCTGAGCCCGAGGGGCAACAGGCGCAGCACGTGATTAGTATAAACACTTTGCGGGAAGTAGAAACGCCTCAGCCGTCTTTGACCACACACACAAGCGCCACTGCTGCTGAGGGAATCCGTCATCACCCGTAATCGCGAATTCCCGCAAACTTCCAATGGACCGAGAAAGAAAATAAGCCCCAGCCCGAGGCCCATCAGAAATGTCGACAAAGGGAAGGCGATATGTGGAGCAGGGGCAGGCGGGGGCTGATTGACTGACCGACTGACTGGCAGAGGGGCAAAGGCAAAAGGGGAGGGAGGGGGGAGGGGGCAGTGTGGAGTGGGGGTGGGGTGGGGTGGGGCCCGGCGGTGGCAGCATAAAGCCATCAGTGAGCGGGTGGGGCCCACTGGGGCTTGACAGCAGGAGTACCGGCCTGTGATCATGGAATGCCGAGGCTCTAGCAGCTGCGGCTTTAATTCTCGATCCGTGGAATGGCGAAGGAGACAGCTTCGCAGTGCGTCATAAGTATCTGAGGCACGTACGATGATGCAGCAAGCAAGCAAGCAGGCGAGGCGATGGCATCGATCGAGATCCCCCGGATCGGTTCCGACGACCAGGATGTTTCTCTTATCGATCCGCCATCGCTCCCCAGCCAGCATCCGCACCTCGCCGGAGGGAATGTCCTTGGGGTGCGATGCAGATCTAAGCGAGACATTCGTGCGAGAGAGCGCTTCATGAGTTCCCGACCTTCCGAGTAATTAAGATCCCAACTCACCATCGACACCGCTGCTGCTCTAGGCACGGCGCGCACTTACGCTTCTGGACAGATCGATGGACTGGTCCGACTCTGACAGTCGATAGGTCAGAAAGAGATGAGACGAACTCCGCTCGCTCGCTCGTGGCGGAAGACTGTGGCCACGTACAAACCATACAGACTGCAATGGCCGAGTCGCCAACGCCTCCAGCAAATTTCATCATCCCGGACTCATTTCCAAATCTACAGCTATGACAGAAATCTGGCCTTCCAACCACCACATCGTCCATGTGTGCGTGCGCACTCCTCCATTCTGCTCCCGTCTTCGCATCTAGATGGACTACTACTACGCTGCGCGTGCCCGCCCCGTCCGTCCGCCGACATCGCTCGCAATGACTCCAAATTCCCGCCACATTCAGGCCTACATTCGAGATCGACGCTAGTCTCGGGCCTCGACGCACCACACACACTCAACACGCTACGACTCGTACGTGCTCGACCGAGAGCACCAGCTCCAGATCGTGCGCAGCTGCTTGCTACTACACTCGTGCATGGCATCCATCCATCGATTGGCTCGCACGTAAATGAAAGCCCGCGAAAGGCACACCATGAGAGCGAGCGCTGGCTGGCATGGATAGGTGCGCAAGGTGGTACGTGGTGCAGCTCGCGGCTCATCCGTCTAGCGATAGCTTGCGGGCAGGGCAGGAGATGGACGAGGGGAGGAAAAGGGGAGGACAGCCAGAAAGCGAGAGGGAAAAGCGAGAAGTGAGTGAGAGTCGGATGCTGCCATGCACCGCGCGCCTGGCTCGAGACAGGAAGAGCCGCAATTGGCCATACATACAACAAATCAAAGCACGCGATCTCGCATTCATTCATGATCAAGGGTCGTAGCTCTAGGGGAATTCATGTTCAGGGCCCAAGGGACGAGGGCTGACGCACGCGCAAGCTGTGCATCGAAGCGAATCGATAGCGACCATGCAGGAAAGCATCGACTGATTGGCGAGTCAAAGCCCGGACGGGACCCTCTGCGATTGACTGGGGGAGGGAGCGAATCCGCTGGCCCGCAATCAAGGAGGGGACGGGGAGGGGCAGGGGGAGGGGCCATGATCATGACGTGGGGCCCGATTCAATAAAGAAAGGAGCAAAAGGCGAACGCGAGTAATGTCTAACAGCTCATGATGGCACAGAGAAAAGCGGGCAGCGGAGGACATACCGAACTTCCAGCGCGCCTGCACGAGGCCGACGTCCGCATTGTGCACAAGATATGGGATGGTTCGGTTGAGGAAGTCCGACTCGGGTTGGAAATCGGCATCGAAAATGGCAACATAGTCGCACAATCGCACGTAGCTGCGCTTCATCCCCTCGCGAAGAGCTCCAGCCTTGTACCCCACCCTGTTCGGCCTCACCTCATACTTGATGTTGATTCCCTTTCCAGCCCAGCGTTGGCACTCTGCTTGTACCATGGACTGCGGGCGGCCAACAACCGGTTCACTCGATGAGCATGTTGATTCATGACCATCTCTCTCTCGTCACTCTTTTCTGCTACGCTTTTATGCTACGCCATGCCACGCCATGCACTCGCTATCTCCCCCTACTCACGAACTCTACAGCACACTCACTCAATCTCTAATAAGACCAATCAGATGCGAGTGCAGGATTCGTCTGGCAAAGGTGCCCAAATGTGCGTGAGTGCGTGCATCCAGCAAGTGCGACTACCCGTACTCTCTCGGACAGTGGACGACCTGCTGCATATGCCTAAACGCCACGAGAATCTGCCTGCAGGGTGGAGATCTTCGCTGCTGGACGACGGGTCCGGCCCAAATGCCGTCCAGTACAGGGAGAGAGAAGAGATGTGATGTGACCTTGAAGGAAGGACAGAGAGAGAGAGCGAGCGAGCCACTTGCGCAGCTGCTGCTGCAGGCAGAGTCTCACCTTAATCTCGGGGTCCGTAGAATCGTCCAAAATTTGAATTATAATCCGATCCGCGGGCCACGCGAGGCCGCAAGCTGCCCCTATGGAGAGCTGAAACACCTGCTCGGGCCGAGGATCCATCCACACAATGTACAGTCGTCAGCACGCGCAGTGACAGGACCGAATCCATCTAGTCCTGCATTGCTGCCATGGGATCTCGCCGAACGGACGCGGGACCTAATGAACTAATCGAAGCGAAGCAAGGCAAAGCAAAGCAAAGTAAAGGAGAGCATGGCTCATCTGATCTAGTCGAGTCTAATCTAATCTGGTCTGGTCTGGTCGTGGACATGGAATGAAACGAAAGCACGAGGAGCGAGGAGGGGAGGGCGCACCTCTCTCTCATTATACATGGGAACCTGGACCAAAACCATGGGGTAATGAGAGTTCCCGAGCTCTACGTCGTCCTTCATAGGTTCGAACTTATACATCTTGTTGGGAGTCCTCCGGAACAGCTTCACGTAGAAGAGCACCGTGCACATATATATCCTCTCCATGAAGAGCATGAACACCATAACTAAGCACACATTGATGGAGAATTGCACCATGGGCGCAATGACCGGCGCGCGGAGGCGCATCCATAGACTGGACAGGGTCTCGACCACATCTTCGTTGGCGGCGGGTTGGACCAAACTCTTGAATTCAGACCCCAGACGAGCCATGCCTGCACCGGGCCCCGGTCCGGAAAATCAGAGGTCGTGCAGAATTGGTCGCCCGACGACAGACGCACACAACTCCCCCGCGGAGTCAATGTGGTGATCTCAGAAGCATCAACACTCCAATGTCATGGTCACCGACGATCACGCGAGTGTCGGTGCAGCGAGGGGCGTGCAGGGCATAACTGTTCTCTAAGGGCCAGAGGATGATCCACTTAAGATGTCTAAAATCCCGATGCGCAGTCCTGTATCATATTCCCGCTATCTCTGTTCATCTCCCGGTGCTCGACTCGACCTGCATTGGCTTTCCCAGCTCCGCTCCTCCACTCCTCCGACCTTTGTTTTCTTTGTTACGCGGTGGCTGACCTCCGGGAGTGTGTGTGCACGCAGCTGATGCGGGACCGAAGAGCTGAGACACACACACACGCACACACACAGAAACACACACTCACTCACTCACACTTTGCTCTTATACCACCGACGCTTGGTGCATCAAAGAGATGACTTATTTTCCACTATATAGTTCCCAGCCATGGCCCGCCCTGGCAGCAAGCTCGACTCACGCACACTCTCACACTCAGACACACACAGCTCGACGAGTCCACTCCTCGTCCGTGCGGCAGCGGCAGCGGCAGCGCAGTGCAGTGCAGAACGAGGGCAATCGAGGCGCTGATCGACCGGCCGACCGACTGCAGAGCAGGACGAGGACGATGGGCGCCGCCGCCGATCCCCCGAGCGCACCAACAGCAGCAGCAGCGTCCGACGATGGAAGGACCGCGAGAACGAATGTACGTATGTATGTATGAAAAGAGAGCAGCTCACACGAATCCCCCCCTCACTTCACTCCACTTCACGGACTGGGATTGAGATGATGGTGCACAATACAGCAATGGGATTGAACAAAACGAGCAATTATATGGGAGCCGCCCCAATGCGTGCCTGGGTCCTACTCGTTCCGCTCGCCCACCCGCCCCGGATCTCTCCCTTCCGCCCTGGCCTCCCTGCCTGCCTCCCTTGCTTGCTTGCTTGCTTCCGACACGACCGAGAAGAGGAGCAGAGCAGAGCAGAGCCGAGCAGAGCAGAGCGGCGACGAGATGCAAGAGCAGGAGGGCGCAGACGGGAATGGACTGGAATGGAATGGTATGAAAGAGAGAAGAAGATCACTCCCCCCTCACCTCAGTCTCCGTTGGTCTCCTCCGTGTCCCACGTCTCTGCCTTGTGAAGGACACCAACGGAAGAAGAAGCTCTTGAGTAGTAATGGGATTGCCTGTCTGCCTCGCCTCAACAAAAACCTTTGTCAAGGCCTCCCGCACAAGTAGTAAGCGAAGGTATGGTGCCACGCCTCTGTAAGCACCTGCTTCTCTGCCCTTTGCTTTACGCAGAGCGAGCTCTCTGGAAGAGCTCCAGACAGACAAGCAGATGCGCAGCAGGCAGACAGACAGGCTCTCAGCACACACCGGCCGTCCTTTTCCTCTGAACAGGCCGCGGTCCTCGTCTTCTGGTTTCTCCCCTTACCCAGCGGTCCTTATATTACCCCCCGCGTCCGCTGGATCTCCAGCCCCCCTTCTCCCCCTTCTCCCCTTCTCCCCCAAGCCCACCCCTGCCCCGCTTCCCGTTTACCCCCCTCGGCCCCCTCAGCCCCCTCAGCCCCCTCCCTCGGCCCCCCTCGGCCCGTCCCCGGCAACGGGCCGGGGGCACCCGAGGTGTCAACGGTTCGATGCGAGTTACATCGCCCGGTGCCAATAATCACTCAGCGCGTGGATCCTTTTCGCTAGCAGGACGTTAAAGGTGCGCGGGGAGGGTGGCAGACTGCGAGCCATGGAGTGCTCCTGCGCCCCGTCTGCCGCCTCATACCCGGGGCTCGCCTGGAGGGCCCCGCGACTTAATACCGGCATGACTTTCCAACTTGCGACCTCCCCGTCCCTTAACTCGGCACCCTCTTACTGTTAATCCCGTGACCCTTTTTCTTAGCTGGACACAACCATCTCGCCCCCGGCCCCCTCTCCCACTGTTACTTTTCACTCGCCCGTAAAAATAATAAGCGCCCGCCTCCCCCTTTTTTATGTCGCGGAAATGTGTTAGCCACACCACGTACTCGCTTCGTTCGTTTCGTGCTTAAGCGGGGGATCGAATTCGGCCTATTTTCCAACCGGCCTCATGCACGAGCCCCCGGACTTGCATTATGCCCGTCCTGTCTACAACGCGACGAGTCCGACGTGGCCCCGACTTCGCGAAAACGCGACTTTGACTGGCGCCCAGGTCTCCCGATTATTGCCGAGGGGGGTTGGGGTTGGGGCCTTAAGCGGCTGCGCGGAAAATATACCCTTAACACATACAGGACCGCGGCTGGGAGGGACTAGGGACTGGACCCGCGCGGAGGATAGCCACTGTTGCTACCGGCCAGATAAAATAGCGGTATTCGCCCTCCCCCCACCCCTCTCGCGAAAGGGAACCCCCAGCGCGCCACTCCACTCTCACCATGACTGACGCACGTGTAAATCTCGTGTGAGGTCCACGTGTGACCGAACCTTTTCTTCCACCCTCGGATGAATAATTTACCGTCCGCCGGACTGCCGTGTACATCATTTCCCGGCATCTCGCTTGCCAGCCGGGCAGCCCCCTCCTCCTCTTTCGACCGCTGCCCGACACCCATTCCGGGCCCGGTTTACCTCGATCTCACCTCGCTCGCCTCCTCCCGGGCCAGGGCTAAATCCGGCGGGGCTGCGTCCGATCCCGGCCGGGCCCGAAGTCTCGTTCCCCTGTGCAGGCCGGTTACCCTAATAAGACAAAGCCAGGAGTCCCTTGGGGCTTGGGGCTTGGGGCTTGGTATACAACATTATACTTCACTTGCCCTCCTCCTCTTTCTCGGCCTCCCCTCGACCACCATCGCACTAATCATGAATTGTAAAACGAGATCTTTTGCGAGTTAATCCCGTGGCTCGTGAGGTAAGCACAGTGGTCGCTCGTACTCCTAGGGAGGGGAGTACCATTCCATTCTACCGGTTAGGCCCCGGTTGGGGGGGGGGGGGGGGGGGGGGGGTGTTGGGTGTTGAGGAGAAGGGGGTTGGGGGTTGAGGGTGGCGCACTGCATTGTGCGCTGCTAACCGTCGCAAACTGCTGAGGCAGATCCACAACTTTGACCCCTGAAGTCCTGATCTCTGCAGTTGCCATATACGATCCCCGGAGTGGCGGATCAGATTACAAATCAGGAAGCTGGAACCGGGTACGCCCATCGATGGACGTGGACGGCCGACGACGACGAGGGCGATGATGTTCCATCGATGCGAGCGCGAGTCTGAGACTCTGAGCTCCGTCCCCAGAAAACCTCCCTCCCGCTTCCTCGGGGCCCCCTCCTCCCTCGGCCATGTCATTGGTGCCACTAGAGTACAGTGCAGCGTTCGCTCGAACTCCCTCGGAGAAAGTCAGACGTGCATTCATGCGCAGCAGCTTCCTCCGGCTTCCCTTCCGACCTTCCTTGCTTTGTCCCGCAGAGCCTCCCCCCCCTCCCCCCCCTCGCCCCATGAACTCACTTCTCTCCATGCTCACATTCGTCGTGCTTCGTTCGAGGCACAGTTTTCCAATGACGGAGTTCACGACCGTCGCCGTCAGTCTGCCTTCCTTCCTTCCTTCCTTCCTTCCATTCCTTTCTGTGAGCACCTTTCCCCTCCACGTAGCCCCTTCTAGTGGGCAGTCGTGCTACTGTCGACGTAGGGGGTGCTACGGTACAACCACAGCTACGATTCTCAGGCGGGTTTATTATTAACTATTCGCTTTGTGATGCTCACGCCAGTCATACGTCGTCGGTGGTCCGAAGGAGATTCGAGGGTTGGGGGTTGGGGAAGAGGAAGCTGCAGCTGTTGGACGACAAGAAAATGAATTTGCTCGCTTGCCAGGAAGTGAAAGTGGGACGAGGACGAGGCAGGGAGGGGGGTTGGGGGGCGCACCTTGGAGGTGTTTTCCAAAAAAGCCCAGCGGCAACTCATGTGCATCGGAATCGAAGAAGAATTATTTAAAGGTCGGGACGAGTTAATGCTCGAAGTCGAAAGTTGTTGTCGGCATGGAGTTGTTTCTCGTGTCCTTGGGCGTGAAAGTACTTCTCTTTCGTTGTAGGACCTGCTCACTGTGCATTGATTCACCCTTTTGGCCATGCATCAAAAGCAGGGGCTGGACTTTCGGGCTCTCGGGACCTCACCCAAAAACCCCACCCAAAGTTTATACATCCGAAGTATATACATCCGAAGTAAGCCCCCCGAGAATTTCCGTTCCATCGCCGCCATGATTAGATCCATGCCGAGCCTCGAGTCAATCCCCTGACGAAGTGCGCAGCCTAGGCCTCGCATATCACCAAACGCACGAACGAACGAACGAACAAGCGACCACCGAAAGCACGTTCTGTTCGGTTGTTGCCTTGCGCGAGTGCTGACTCGGTCCCCCCCAAATCAACCCTCTCTCCGGCCCTCCAAATTTCACCCCTACAGAGCATAGATGGATTAACCGATACTGTACTTCGTTTGTGCTTGCCCCTCCCTTACAATGTCTTTTCCCTCGAATGCGCTCCTTCTCTAAATCACGAATGACGAAGACAGTGACCCCGCCTTCGTGCTCGGAAGTTGGAATGTAACTTGTCCGAGCAAAAAAAGGAAACATTTTGCCGGACGCAAAAGAGGAAGAAAGAGGGAGAAACTGGGGGTAGTGCATACGTGAGAGGCCAGAATTGCCTGCATCATGAGCAGCGAGAGTAAGTAAGGTCTACGGGTGCATATTGTTACTAGTCAATGGAGCTGACTGAACAGAATCGAAGCATGTACCATGTTCATCCTGCAGGAGCATAAGTCTGCCATTTGCATTTGGCCATGCGACCAAATGAAGACAAGATGGCCAAGAGCGTATGTGAGGGAAACCCATTCGAGTGCCAAGTGCGAGATGCACACACGCATTCCAGAGCTACGTAGTTTGCAACTACACTAATGGTCGATGGATAAGGCGGGGAGCAGGAGCTAGGCTCGAAGCTCTCGCTTTAATCGATTAGGAAGAATGTCGAGAGGGAGTCACATCACGCAACGCCATGGTTCATATTGTTAATGGTCACCTGTTTATTGCCCCTCGATTACTCCCCACGATACTACTCCTAGTTTTAGCTCCACCGAGTTAGCAAAGTCAGTCTCGTTCTTGCATAAAGTAAAAGGGCGATGATCACCGAAATATGACAACAACAATGCCTCCTCCACCTCTTGCTCCTCTTCAAAGGCTGGCTAGGATGGATAGGGAAGTGATCATTTCCAAGATGCAGAAAAGCTCGGAGAGAAGGCGTTTCATTCTTGGAAAGCTGGGACAGTTTCATGCACTTCGAGAGCCACCATTCCTCATCAGGGTTCCAACACTTGCTCAGCCAGGGAGAGCTTTGGAAACTGCGAGTTGACGATTGTGTGCATGCGAACCTTTCCAAGTTTGGGCATTCCTGACAAAAACCATGAAACCATGGGCCGAGACTCGAGAAATGAAGTGCCCTCAAAGGATGTCGAAATAATTACATCTGAGACGCCAAGCCGGGAGAGTTTCTCTTGGATTTTATCTATGACCGCCCAACATGTGCACTATTGCCACGGCAACTACTGCTGCTGCTTGCACTTCTTTGGGTCGCCCCTTTCTGTACAAGTTTGTGGCCTCATTGAGTGCATCATTGAAAAGCTGGCACCCGCAGCAAGCTTTTGGTTTGCAATCTTCAGCCGTCAACCTTTTGAGCCGACGTAGCCTGCTTTCCGCTGGTTGTCCCAACAGTTGCAGGACGGTGATACGAGCAGTGAGTGAAGGAGAAAAGAAGCAAACGGGATGGAGGACGAAATAAACGAAGGACATGATGGAGGCGGTGTTTGCTTTTTTCTGCATCGACTGTTGGGCATATGTAGACCTTGTTCAAGTTTATCTATCTCAGGAGGGCAGGCTAGTGTGAATAGAAGTTGTTCGTGGCATCGTTGGCTCTTCGGAGCACGGCTAATGTGGAGGCTTCCTGCTCCGTCAGCGACAAATATAGATCCCATCATCCTTGCACTTAGTCACTGGTCCAGATCCAGGTCCAACAAGCGAGGACGTGTCGTGGACATCATGAGAATTTGGAAGCGAGATGGACTAGTGCGACTAGATGCCGAACGCCATGCAATGCAATGCAGTCATGGAATGTTTCGCTGCGATGGATCTTCAAAGGCTCCCATTTCCTACATTGTGATCACCGCTTTCCCCTTTCTTCTCTCAACATGTGCAATTGCAGGACTGCGATATTTCTCATCCTCGACATTCCGACCCATAAACTTGAACAGTCGCTCCCTCGCTCACTTGAGCCTACGAGCGTCAACTTTCAAGTGAGTCCAGGTTCCAGACCATGTTCGAAACAGTCAATAGAGATATGGCTTCACTTTCACACGTATAAAGATACGAC